ACGTCCCCCTTCATCAAGATTAACAGGAAATAACGCTAGAAACTGAGTGCGAGACGCCAAGCCATTGGACGTGTCAACGCCACAGTTTGGAGATGATCATCAGGGTTAGACTTCGCAGCTTCAGAGAAGTTGACGTGGATTTACTCAATCCAATTGTTGGATCAAGGAGTGAGCGTCTGTAAGTTGTTCTTACACGACGTGGCAAAGGTCTTCGTGGTCGTGATGGCCGTGGGGTTGGCGTTAGCGAGCTGCGGCATGGCGCGTTTCATGCGTCGTGGGTGTCCAAGGGCATGGATCCGACAAATATTACGATACCTTATTGAAACTGAAAGTGTAAACGAGCGAGTCAGAGCCAATATTAGCATCCGCTGGCATCCGCGAGGTGATGAGCGGGAGCAGAAGATGTGAGGCAAGGTAGAGGTTAAGATTATCCGCACTAATTTCCAAAAAGGCAAGGCGTAGTGTTGCCACCACCTATCATTGAAAAGACCCAACTGCGACTGGCACTCCACTTACAACAGGCTTGAACGAATTTGCTGTCTCTCAACAGAGACATACTAGGAGCGGGTGCCTGATGCGGTGCATGCGAGGAAATTGAACTCTGTATTTCTCGAAGATGTGCGAGACTCGGCTTTCTAGAGGACAGGTCGTTGCTCAAGAGCAATCACTTGGTTCCTGCGGTTCAAGGAGTCTGACCGCAGTTGCGGCGGGCCCAATAACTGGCATATGCTGGATTAATTCTCCTTCCCAGCTCCACAGGGTCCCGTTCTCGGCTCCAGTCTTGACATACTCCTGGCAAATTTCAATCGGGTCTTCGTCGACGTAAAGACTAGGGACATTGTAGGTCATGATAGACATTCTCTTTTGCGGGTCGAAACGGTCCCACCCCTGACGCCGCAGATTGCCATATCGTATCTGCTCTTCCTCGACATTGACAAGTAATACTTTGATGGGGATCATTGAGTCTTTACAGTATTGCTGTTTGATGTTCCAGTATTGGAGGCCATCTGCGCGAGTCAAGACAAGCGTCTGTAGTTTGGGCATGCTCGCGACGCTCCTCCAGAAGGGGGTATCCGCATCCACATTGTACAATGCCAACCGTCGCAAGTTAGGCCAGCACTTCCAGTAGAGAGAGTAGCTAGAGCGGTCAGGGCAAAGATAAAGCTCGTCTCGCACGCTGACAAATTCCTCTAGGTTTTCAAGGGCAAGGAATCCTTCACGTAGAATTCGACGAACGTCAAGATGGTCGTCCATTGGGTGAAGACTCCGAAGCGGGATATCGATGATGAGACGTTTGAGCGCTCCGCACGTGTAGTGAAAGAGCTCCCGAACGAACGTTGCCGTAGGTTGGTCGTCAATGGTATCTCCAAACGGCGCCAGAAGCAAGGACGGTATGTTGCGGAGATGACTTCTTTGGGGCAGCTGCAGAAGTAGAGACCGAAGACGGGCTTCCGAGGACAGGTAGACGCAATGTTGACGGAGATAGCGGCTCGCTACTCTGCGGGTCTCATGGCACACTAACGTGAATGCTAAAAGGGTCTGCGTGGTGGGGTGAGACGCAGAGAGGAGTACGCTGGGATCTCTGGGCAGAGAGCAGGTAATGATATTGAGGACGAGCTCCAACGGTAAGGGCATCGGTTTGAGATCCATAATGTGCAAAGTGACAGTCCAGGTCAGCAGTGGTCGTGGTAGCTTTCCAGAGGTAGTGATCGATCCAACCAAAGGTCTGAAGGGTAGATGGCGTAGAGCTCTCGCAGCCGGATTCCGACGTAGACTCTGCTGCCTCTCCTGCTGGATGACTCTGAAGCCTCGGGTTGATGTTCAACCTCCAGGGCTCCAGCTTGTTGGAAGCTCGCGGGGTGGTTTCCCGAAATCGTCAGCAGCGCGCTAGTCCCAATCTAGAGCAACCGCGCGATCCCAGCATTTATTTCCCACTGCCCCGCCGCTGGAACTCTTCGAACGCCTGGGCCATGGAACTGGACACGAAAACTCGTGAGTAGGAGCAGGAGAAGAGTGCTGCTGTGGGACTTTGGCTGATGGCGACTCCAGCTCCGTACAATACGGGCGACCCGACTTCCTTTGCCTACGTCTCCGCCCGCGAACGTTGGCCCGTGATCATAACGCAGGGCATCGATGACGTGCACCGGTCGACATGGGCTTCCAAGGATGAGGCTGCAGCAACAGAGGGCAAATGGATCATCTCAGAGCTCGCAAGACTAAAGTACGAGCTCCAACACGATCGAGAGCTCGACCCAATTCCGGACGATGGTGAAGCAGATGCAGCGGCATATAACAGGGAGTTGGAGGCATTGGGCCGTCCCAAATGGCACTCAGTACCATGGCTGTACTCGGAATGCTATCTCTACAGGTACGCATGTGTGCGAACCTTGTTTGACTCTACTGACTGTTCCAGAAAGGCGTATATCGAGCATTTTCAAGCAGACACAGAAGTGGAAATACTATGACATATTTGCGCGCCAGAAGATGTCCACTTTCCAGTCCTCTCGCCCTGCGGTCCTAGAGCTAGCCGGTCGGTATAAGAACATCGTCACGGAACTGGAGTCGAAGCACACCATTAAAGGAGCCCAAACACAAGAAGACTTGCTGGAGGCAGAGAGAGCTCTGTTCGTTGAGATGTGCGAGATCTGTCTGTGGGGAAATGCGACAGATCTTTCTCTTTTGACCAATCTCTCGTACGAGGATATTCAGAAACTCCAGGGATCAGAGGCGCGGAAGGCTTCAGAAAAGAACATTCTGGTCAACGACCTAGGGGAGGCTTTCAAAATCTTGGTCGCCGCCCAGAGATCAGGGAAGAAAGATCGTAGACTCGACATCGTTCTTGATAATGCCGGGTTTGAGCTCTTTGTCGACCTCATTCTCGCTGGCTACCTGCTCGCTGCCGGCCTCGCCAATACCATTGTTCTGCATCCCAAGTCTATCCCGTGGTTCGTGTCGGACGTGCTCCCGCAGGATTTTGCAGCACTTCTCGTTGCTCTAGCAGATCCCCAAGCATTCTATTCCCAGCTTTCCGATAGTGATAAGGAAGCTGGGAAGGTAGCCTCCCCCCTTTCGGATTCTGACGTCTCAAATTTGAAGTTTCTCTTCGAACATTGGAGTCGCCTTCATACGGAAGGCCAGCTAGTCTTGCGACCGAATACTTTCTGGACGGCGGCTGGCAGCTACTGGAGGCTGCCAAAGACCGAGCCATCCTTGCATGATGATCTGCAACAAAGCGAGCTCGTAGTGTTCAAAGGTGATCTCAACTATAGGAAATTGACTGGTGACGTGAGTATACCAGCAAAACCAAAACCTCTGTTCCGAGAACTAACGCGTCTCAGGCGGCATGGCCAGCATCCACACCATTCGAAGAGGCCATCGGCCCTCTAGGTCCGGGGTCTGGAGTCCGCGTTCTGGCCTTGCGCACCTGCAAAGCCGACGTCGTAGTCGGTCTTCCCGAGGGAGAGGACGAGAGGGTCAAGGCGACAGAAGGCGGTGGGGGTGATAGTGGAGCAAGAAAGTGGGCATGGAGCGGGAAGTGGGCCGTGGTACAATTCTCCAATGGGAAAGCTTAAGCTTTTTTGGTTCTCATGCCTCTTTCACACTTTTGAGAATAGAGTTAGACTATAGATCGTCACACGAATGGGAACGATCTTCTTACAAGTGAATGTCCTGCTCCAACTATCGGCAAGGCTGAATGAAGACCACAATATTGAAGCCTCCAAGACGGCTGATAATAGACGCAGCTGTAGAGCAGCAAGGTAACAAATAATAAAGCAGCAATAGTTTTAGGCACATCCGCTGCATCGCTACCGACTCGAGTACACATATCATGGGCGCAGCCGCGGTGGATCCGTCTGCTGCTGCCAGACTAGCACCAGATGCATCACATGCTGGAAATGCAGCTTCTACAACCATAGATGTCCCCCACCCTCATGCCGACGCCTTCGAGGACGAGCATCCGGGTGGCTTCCAAGCTGACCACGCCGCACACGGCCTCACGAACGGCATTGGTGACGCCATCGCGCAGGAATCAATAACGTTACCGGTCATGACATTACAACGGACTCATCCTGGCTCCATCTAGAGAACCTTCACGACATCCAGGGCGTTGGTGGGGCGTCACTTGCAACCGAGACTGCTGTTGTCGGCGCCCAAGCAGAGCTCACCCAAGTCCCACAGATGGTTGCTGAAGTCGCACTGGATGAAAACTTACGCGTCGGCACCAACAACAGGCGAAGTTCTTCCTACAATGCGGACGAGAGGACAAGGCGCCATAGGAGCAGCATGAGAGGTCATGTCCTCACTGCACCTTTGCTAATTGCCCTGATGCATCAACTTGCAAGCTGTGCGGCGGGAAATTGCTGGCATCTTCGCTTCCTGGAGCATGGCCTGAATATCCGTATCTCTGAACTCAGTTTGTATTCAGGCAGGGACGTGGTCCCGCGATATTCGATCCAATGCCCGAAGAGAACTTGAAGCTCTTCCAGCTCTTCACTCTTGATGGGCATCTGTGTCTGATTTGTCGTTTCCAGACATCAAGAAAGTTTGAAGGGCAAGGATATCGTTAGCATGCTATTGGAGAGTTGGGTGTCTTTGGGAGTATAGCCTGATTTTCATTCGGTACGCGGTATGTGAAAATCTTGCCTGCATGTCATCTTGATATTGTATCTCACCCAATCTAGACGATAAGACCCTTGACCCAGGTCTAGCAGGTCGATGACCATATTCTACGCAGTAAAAGCGGACAAGAGTAGTCAATTCTTAATCACTACAACCCTATTCCTTCGTAAAGAAGGAATATATACCTAGCAGCAGTAGAACAATAGGCTAAAAACTAGATCTTGTAGTTTCTTAGAAAGACTCTTTTCTATCTTTTCATAGACCAAAAGAAGGTCGGGTAGGGAGTTTAATAGTCAGTCAAAAGCAAAAAAAAGAAGTAGAAAGCCAATGGACTTGCTGGGAACTGTTCAACGTCAGCAACCGCGATTGTCAGAGGAAATAGGGACAACATACTCGAACCCAGGACCTTTCCCATGCTAAGGGAAAATTATACCACTAAACCACAAGCCCGTATTGTTTGATAGACGAATAGGGCAAATTAGTAAAAATATATACACATTGCCGAATTTTCTTGGGTGCCATAATCGATAGTTCTAGAGCATAGGAATCCACTAAAGATGAAAGCAGGGGTGAAAAATACTAGCTTGAAGATTCTTCGACGCTTACGGTTCCGAGTAGAGTGGGGCTGTCCGTTTAACCGACCGATTGGTAGACACAATTGATTCATTGTAGTACGTCTTGCTTCTATAATTTACTACCTACTAAAGCCTACCTAATCGAACCTAAGGCAGGTTTATTATCTGGATATGCATACGTAGGTTGTAGTTTTATGCATATCTAGTTAATGCTTCTAGAGTACTTGTTACTAGGATAGTAGAGAAACAAGCAAAGGCTGGAAGCTACAGCTTGAACCAGCTAAGCATCCGCATTTGAAGCCTTGAAATAGGAAGGCACTAAAAAAAGACGATAGACCCATTTCTTGTTGGCAAGTATCATATTAAACAGTATATCTGCAGGCTCGCCTTTCTACAGCTACATAGGTCAATATCAATCCTAAGGTCTAGGTTTGTAAACATTCCCCATTACAATATACTTCTCTAACAAGTTTAGAGTATTCTTGCTTCTCTTCCAACTCTAGGTCTACCTGGCTTCGATCCAAACTCCACACTGTACATTTCCTCAATACGACAGGTACCCTAGCTACGCTCCCACCGAGCAGTATGCTCACGACATCCTTTATTCTCATGTCCCATGGTCCAATTCCAGATTTGCCTCCCCTAGCAACGAAGAATCTACGATTAGTCGATCGATTTGCCCTATGATCGACAGCCCACGGACCTCCGGTAACGTATTCCCAGCGCAGCTAGACATTATAAGGATTGTGGCGAGCAGGAGACTCTGTGCGAGGGGAATTGAATGTAAGCTCTGCATTAAGATGAGATGCTCGGATGAGCCTTATATACATAGGAAAGCTGGCTCGTGCGAGCGTATGATACAAAGGGAATAGCCTAAAGACGAGCAGCTCATACAGTGCGACAAGGATCTTATTCTGCTGCACGTCATCACAAGGAGTACAGCCAAATTGGTTAGTTATCCAGCTAACAAGGTATATCCAAAATTGCCAGCCGAAATTTTGAATACCAATAGGTGTGATCTCGACGATGACGAAGTTCGTGGTCCTAGGAAACCCATGTCAGAGATGATGGAGGCATATAAAAGATGGTATATTACTTACCGGTTCGTAGCTGTTGCAACTGCGGCACCCTTAGTCCTCATGGCAGTGAGTTGATCTCAGTAGGGTACAACCATGGTACACCGAGCATGCCGATACCGAAGGCAATATAGTAGAGGAAGAAGAACGCGATCGATGCTGAAGCGATTACTTGTCCGCCACTAGTATCATGGTTCGCATAGCGAAGCAAAACCGTAATGATGAAAAAGCACAAGCCTTGGCCAGCGGTAGACGCAAGCATTAGTCCACGTCTTCCTACCCTCTCAACAAGTGGGATGGCAATTCCCGAGACAATCAGGTAGGAGACGGAGTTCCTCGCGGTAAGAAGGCGAGCCATCTCGGCCGAGACTCCGACGTAACTGATCAGCACAGTTGGAAAATAGTACGACATGATGTTGTTGGCTAGACCCAGCCACCTCGTTGTCCTGTCTTTGTTCTAGTCGGCGAGCATTCCTTCGTTACTAGAGTATATAAGCAAGCAAGTATTGTAGATAGCAATATATCTCATCTGTTCAATGGTGTTGATCTCATCGCATTGTTGCATGAGCTGTGTTCCAGCACCCAGAAGAAGGCGTGGCAAGGTTTTGGTCAAGCCGGTGGTCCTCTTCTTCCGCAGTATGTCCGTCTACCCGATGGCATGCTCGCGCTCGTAATTGACAGAGTACTGAATTTCGTTCCGCTGAGAAAGAACGAAAGCGTCGTCAATCCCCTTGCCATCGATAGCCGCAAGAACCTGGGTCGCTTCGGCCAAGTGACCATGCTGGATGAGCGATCTGAATGGTGTCAGCTTCTGAACTCACCATTACCAGCTCAGCGGATCATAGCTAGGAGATTCTGACAACCACGGAACTGTCATAAATAGAACGATGAAGAGGAAGTATTGGAACGCAAGCGGAAATCGCCAAGCAACTGGACCACCTGCATAGCTCATTCCGTAGTTGATCCAATTACAGAGCGAGAACCCAGCGACGTTCATCCATATTTCGAAGATGACCAACTTGCCTCTCCACTTGATCTGAGCGGTCTGCGTCTGCCAAAGAGGGGCGGGTGCGGTGTTGATACCATTGCCAATGCCCAGGATGATGCGCCCAACGAACATCTGGGCCAGGCTATAAGAAGTGGTCTAGACAATCGACGCTACAGCCATGATGGCCGTTCCTGTTGGCTTATAAGACACCGATTAATGTGGGCTGTTAGGTGACATCTTACCAAGAAGAACGGATCTCTTCCGAGCTAGTCTCTCGCTAATTGTAAACGCAATTGCTGCTTCTTGTTTATATGTATTGTTTTTTGTTTAAATGTATAGGAAGGGTGATACGGGAAAGCAGTGTAAACGCAATAATGGCCCCAATGAAGCATCCCACATCGTAAATAGCAGTAACTGTAGAGAGCACAGTAGTTTGAGAGTGTCCAACGAGGTCATGAAGTTCGAGAAAGTTTTTATTGGTAATGACGCCACCTATAGGTTGTTAGTGCCGATCCATCGCTACTATCACTCTTCGACTAGGAGAGACATACTAAAGATAGCCTAATTATAACCAAATAAGGTTATATTAGTAGCGCAAGCGATAGTTAACTAGAAAATTAAATATTTGCTAGTAAGTTCCAAGTAGGGTTTATTTTTTCTAAATATAGTAAGAGTTAAATATAAAGAGATTAAGGTCTAAGATTACTTAGATAAATATATATAATAGTTAATAGAGAGAGTAATAGACTAGTAATAAATAAAATAAAAAAATTTATACTTAATTTAAATATATTATATATTTGTTAAGAAAATATATTTATAGAAGCTATAATATAAAAATAATATATATTATTAAGTTTTAAGATATATTATTACTTTAAAAATTAGTATTATAGATTTTAATATATAAAACTAATATTAAAGTAGCTAAAGCTAAAAAAAACTATTATATTATCTAACTTTCTTTTTAAATTTTTTTTTAAAAAAAAAATAGTATATTTATAATTACTTTATAGTTATTAGATTATTAAGAAACTATATAATATATTCTACTACCAAGTTAGTTAAACTACTAAGTTAGTTAGTTTTTCTTAGTAATACTAACTACTCTATTATTATAAGATATCTTAATAATATATTACTTCTATTCTTAAATAAAAAGGTAGAATTAAGCTTACTTTTTAGGCCTACTAAAATTATAAATCTAAAAGCCTATAATATACTATAGCTATATTTAATATTCTATATATAACCTTAATTAATAGATATAATAAAATTTTCTTTAGATATAATATCTATCTAAACTACTATAAGCTTATCTCTATTAAAGAGTAAATAATTATCTAATATATCTTTAATCTTAATTTAAGAGG